ACTGCCACATAGGTGGCAACCACTCTGGGTGTTTTATCCATGTATAGCAGAGCAAAAACAGTGGCGTCTAAGACACTGTTACAAAAACGAGTTTTAGCAACGGGACCATTTTTGAGCAGAGGCGGCTCAATCAAGAGCCGCATCTATAGTGCCCTATGAACTAAGCCGCCTCTGGAGATGGATCTTCAGAGGAGGCTCCAAAGTCAGCCGCCTCTACAAAAAGAATCATTTTTAGAGATAGCTCGTGACACCATCCACCTCTAAAGAAACCATTTGTACATAGTAGAAATAAATGTATACTGCCCCTCCTCGCTCACTTCGCCTCCTCCTCTCTCAAACCTCATCGCCTCCCCTCTCCCAGACCCTATCGCCTCCACACCTGGCAGCGTGTGTGTCAATGCCAAGCGGCAAGCATGGCTTCATCACCAAGACCCAACCATGGAATGAGCGTGGCCAGTTCACCCCCTCAAGCGGCAGTGGCAGCGGAGGGGTTGGATCCCGGTGCACGGCTACCTCATTTACCTGCTTGACTCCGACAAAGAGGTAAAGCCCTCCGTGATGCGCCTTGCGTTGCAGAGTGATGGGACCACCACAGGGTGGGTCAAAGGCGAGGGGCCATCGGGGGGCTTGGCAAAGCCGCGGCATTGTCGGTCGCCGCCCAACCAGGCAAAGGCAACAACACGAAGGATCCGGTGCTAGTCGCCAACAAGAAGGGTCCTTTGAGCTCCGCGAAGCGAGTCAAAAGGTCAACAATGAAAGGTGATGAACAGCGCGCTGCGGCTATGTGCTCAGGAATGAAGAAGGTTAGCCTATTTCCCCCTGTGGTAGGGTTAGGGTTTTAGGGTACATCAGATGTGTTCACTTCATTGCTGTTAGTTTGTTAGGGTTTTAGGATTAGGCTTATGCATGTGTGTTCACTTCACTGCTTCTAGTTTGTTAGGGTTCTAGGGTTGTGTTAGCTATGGAGCAGACCAGCTAACAACTCATTACTAGTTAGAAATGCAATTATATAGGGTGTGTTTGGTTTCCTAGCCAATTTCTAGCCTGACTAGAATCCTAGCCTGGGTAGCCTTAGCCTGCTCCCACCAAGCCAGCCCTTGATTGTTTGGTTGTCTGTACTGTCTAAGCCTAGCTAGCACTAGGGTGTGTTTGGTTGTCTGGTTTGTTTTGATACGGTTAACTCTTCTGTAAATTGGTAAGGTTACCATATTTGAGGCATTTCCTCGAACAAGTGGTGGGCAGCGAGCCCAATGGGTAGAGCAGGGCGAGCTCGTAGGGCGGCACCACGGTGGACACGATAGAGCGAGCGAGCATGGCGGTCAAGAGCAGGGCGAACAGAACGAGCATGGCGGCACCACAGTGGACACGGCAGAGCGAGCACGACGGCACCACGGCGAGCACGGTAGCGATGAGCTTCTACTCCCGCCCAGCCTCCCGTTCGGCACCCGCAGAAGCACCAACGATGACGCCTTCCCCTTCTTCCCGCTAGCCCCCGACGATGCATGGAGTTTGGTCCGGTGGTGGCGTGCGAGTGCGGCAGGGAAGCCAACGAAGGAGGCAGCGTGGCGGTGGGATGGTCGCGTGGTGGACGGCGGGGATGGTCGCGTGATGGACAGCTAGGATGCTGGCGTGGCGGCAGGATCCGGGATGGTCGCGTGGTGGACTCCCCAGTGCTCCCTCGACAGCTCCGACGGCACGGGCCCTGGACAACATCTATGCTCGCGTGGTGGACGGCGGGGACTCGGGCGGAGTGTGCTCGTTACAAATCCAACGGGAGTTCGGGCGGAGTGGTGGCCGGCGTGAGCTCAAGCGAAACTCACATGGTGGCCTCCGTTGAGCTTGGGCCGATCCGCCTCTCTAATTGACCGTCCATCTCTGGTGAGGGTGCTAGAGCTCGAGCGGAGGAGGACGACGATGGCAGACATGGCGCGCGTGCTGGATGCGCCGGCGGAAAAGCGGACGACGGAGATGAGGTGGCACGCGCAGACGTCGAGGAGCTAGCCAGGAAGCAGGTGGTCGGCGCGTGACCGCCGAGGAGCTGCTCACGCGGACACGAGGAGATGGCCTACGCGGGGAGGGGAGGTGAACAGCAGGGAGGGAGGTGTCGCGAACCACAGGGAGGGCTGGCCAGGGCCTGGCTAGGAACAAACGGCCGAATCAAGCATTCAACCTGGGCTAGGCTCCAATTGTACGGTTGGCCAGCCCAAGCCAAGCCCCAAGCCCCTTACTAGGCAACCAAACAGGCCAAAATTAGCTCCAGGGAGCTAGGCTAGTGGCTGGCCACCCAACCAAACACACCCATATAGTTTTGCTCTTAGCCAAACTATCTAAAGTTTTATCAAGTTAATAGAAAAAGAGTACCAATATAATATTTATGATACCAAATAGGTAAAGTATAAAAATATATTCCATGACAAATCTGATTATATTAATACTTGTTTGTATAGTTGGTCAAACTTGAGATAGTTTGACTTGGTAATATGCTAGAATTACATTCTTTTCTAGATAGAGGGAAGTAAGGCATTAGCTGATCTATTAGCTAGGGATCCAAACAAGGATTAGTACATAGTTGAAAATTGTAAAATGAAGGCTTTACAAATATTATACCCTAGTTCTCTGTTAGCTAGGAGGGAGGGTCAAGCTACATGAACCTAGAAACAGTATTAAAGAACTATAGATATTCCATTCCTTAAACCTGCAGGGTTCAATGAACCAGGCATGCAGGCTCTTTTTTCTACCAGTTACTCTGTTTGGCCCTGAAAGATTGTTATTTTCACTTCTTGAGAAGTCAAACTATTTCAACTTTGATTAAATATATATATATATAATATTAATATTTGTAATACATAATTAGTATCACTAGATAAATCGTTGAATATATTTCATAACAAACTTATTTGAAAATACAAATGTTGTTAATATTTTTTTATAAACCTAGTCAAACTTAAGAAAGTTTGCTCAGCACAAACCCTATACCCACACTCTTTTTGGGACGGAGGGAGTAGGCTACTGCATCTATATTAAGCTAGCTCCAATGTCTAGCTAAAGTCCAAGACAGTTAACATCCACCGAGTGATCACTATATTCGAAAATGGACATGTAGCGCACCATTTTACAAGTTTAGGAATATACGGTGCACTATTTAACAATTGTAGAGATCCATAATTATGTTTTCAAAGTTCATGGATTTAAGTGGCATTCTTTGACAAGTTCAAAGGTCACTGATGCATTTCACTCTAATTTTAATAACTGAACTAAGCTAACTCCAACGTCTAACTAAAGTCCATGCTAGTTAACGTGCTCCCATCAGCCTTAATTTGTACATGCAGCAGCACATAAATATGTACGCCACATGGCTACCTCTACGGCTCTACCTGCCTGCCTCCTGCAGCTGCATATGCATGGTCATTTGGAAAATAACAGTGCTTTGCACCTTATTTCTAGGATAGTCCGTTTTTTCGACGTCCAATTTTCACGACCATCTCATTTTTAACCTTTTAACTATGAAACTAGGTATTGTATGCTCCAACTATTGAAACCGGAGACATTTAGTTCTCTAGCTAGTTTTTGTTTTCTAAAAGAAAATTGGTCCAGCTAGCCTCTCAAAGTTCATAACTATATACTTTATCTTAAATGAAAAAATTATGAAACTAGTATCATTTTTTCTAAAAACATTATGTATCTATTGGTGCTCTATCTTGAATTATTTGGATCTTATTTTTTCCCTAGTGTTTCATTACTTAAAGATTTTGATAAATGGAAAATATTTAATTGGAGAATCAATGCAAAATATTCAAGTTAATTAAACATAAAGGGATATATGCATGTTATGTGAGGTAGTATAAACAAATGATATATAATCAAGAAGATGATCAATCGTGATCTGAGTATATATGTGCATGTATATATACTAATCTGAATGAGCTGTTTGCCATATAATGCCATGTGTACGTACCTTTCAGATTATTCAGTTGCTTAAACACAGATTCTAGTCTAGGCATATATAAACATCGATCCGTGAAGAATTAAAATATAATTTCAAGACCAATAATAAACTAAATTCAGAGACCAATGAATTTTATCAGATGTGTGGTGGCCAGACTCGCCTGGCCCAATATATATACTTCCTCCGTCTCTAAAAATATCAACTTTTAGAGTTGTCTTAAGTTATTTTTCAAAAAAATAGCTAAATCTATAAACAAATGCAAGATTTATAACATTAAATTAGTATCATTAGATATATCATGAAATATATTTTTATAATGGGTTCATTTGGTGTCATAAATATTATTAGGTTTTCTATGAATTTGATCAAATATAAAAAATAACTTAAAACAATTCTAAAAATTAATTTATTTGGAGATCCAAGGAATATATTATAGGAACAACGACATGACCCAATGTGTTGACCAACGGACACTAATAAACCAAAAGCCTTCACACCATGCATATATGGATTTTGTGCCAAAGGGCAGTAGCGTAGTAGTTACAAGAGTTTAAGTAGCATCTCATGTACTGGGTTCGACTCTCCATGTGAGCAAAAATTTTAGGATTTAATAGCGTTGTGCTTTCAGTGATAGACGACGATGAGATACTAAATATTAGTTCTATTGGCTGGTTTAGATTTGCTAATAGATGGTAACAGTTTGTATGCATCAATCTTAAGTTATTATCTTTCCCAAGTGATCTTAAGTCACTATCTTTGCATCGATCTTAAGTCACTATCTTTCCGAAGTGTTGCCCTATGGGATGCAATGCAAAACCCGCAAAGCACAAACTCCACCAGTGCTTCTAGATTGGGTTGTGTTATACTGAATAAATAGAGGGAGGGGTAACAGTGGTAAACATAAAAAGGCAGTCCAATTTAAAATGCATTGAAACCGGCCGGTTCACTAGTTTTGTTAAAAACTAGGTGCTCAACCGATTTTAGTGGTTTAATTGTGTGGACGGTCTTTTAAGTGAATCAGCTTAGGCTCTGTTTGGCACGGCTTCTCCACCTGTTTCAGGAGCCGTTTAGAGTTGTTTTGTGCTAAACGGGGTAAAACAAAATGGCTTCACTCTAAGAAGCCCCTTAAATTGTGCTCTCAAAAGAATTGAGGTGAGATAGAGCAAAAAATAGTGGCTTTACCCGAGTTCACCTCATCTTGGTGGGCCCTGCATAGGGTTCTTTGAGAGCATGTTTTAAAGAGCTCTACACGTGGAGCTGTTTTACCAAATGGTTTATCAAAACGGCTTCAACTCCACCGGTAGAGTTGTTCATGGAGCTGAAGCAAAAAATGGCTTCCCTAGGGAAGTAAAGCCATACCAAATTGGGCCTTGGTATAGTCGTTGATTCTGTCTTTTAGCGGTCTAACAATTATTCTAGTCTAATCTGATCCTAATAACTATGGTTATATAAATATATACGCTATATTCTGACTCATCTGACCATGTACGTATTGCAATTCTAAGCCTCATGTTATCATGCATTAGCATGTGGGGTTGTTAGCTGGAAACAATGTGATGGCCATGTGATGATCCTGGGCCCGGCAGAAAGGCGCATGCTAACATAGATTACGTCAAAAGCGTATACTTATTAAAAAAAAGTTCCAGCACAGAGTATCTATTTCAAAAAAGCTTTGTATACATGTCATACAAATATGACAGTTCATGTGGTTACATAGATGCACCTAGATTGATTTACGTTATTAAGTACTTCTATTTAAATATGACAGTTCTTGGAAGTACAGAGGAACTAAAAAAATGATGATGACTAGTTGTTTGGCTCATGATGGAGAGAGACGAAAGATGTTGCTCAACCGTCGTCTTGTCCATTTCGAATGTCCAAAATCCTCAATTTGCAGAACATGCATAAGTAACCACCAATGCACTCCTAATTATTAGTCTGTTTTTTAAAGAAAATGTTTCCACATATAGTCATATTAATAACTGAAATCTGTGTCATTTCCTTCACATCGAAATCAATTTTTTTGAGATTTCACACTAACCAGCCAATTTCAATTCATGATGTCGACCAAAGCAAATAAAAATAGAAAAAATGTATCACGCGAACAAAGCATATTGGCGTGCCATGGATATAATCTAAGGTACAAGTTTTACATAGTGATTAAGAAAGATATAGACCAACCATAGGTAGAGATCGGTAGTGTGGAAATAAGGGGTACTTTTTGAAAAAAACAAACTGGCAGAAGAGTTGGCCACTATATTAAAAAGAAGGGTAGCCCAGACGGATAAGGGAAAATACCTCGAGATGAAAAAGGCCGATCGAAAACGAGAATGGTGGTGGATCACACAACTAGAAAAATGCTTTGCTCCCGCCATGATCTGAGGTCTTGCCTCGTCTTTAATTTTCTAAAACATAGCAAAAAAATAAGAGCTACAAGAAAGTCCTAGAAAGTATCAAATAGGTAGAGAAATATTAAAATGCATCTGACAACTACCTATATTTTTTAATGAAAACAAAGAGTAAATCGGTATTTTCACACTATGAAGTCTATCATGCCCTCGTCTTCTCCTCCATGCCGTCTCGTAGCACAGGAGCCTCCGCGCCAACCCAAATAAGGAAGACCAGCTTCGTTGCCCTCCCCTCCTATGACAATCCAAAAGTAGGGCCTATTTGGCTTCCACCATATATCCATGTGTTGTAGCTCTAGTCTCGCCGAATGTGTGGCGCACCCCACGAACACAAGCGCTAGACTTTCGACAAGTTTAGGCTATCAAATGCACTATCCAGCAACAAGAAACAATGCAACAAGCCCAATGTCTAGAAGTGAAGCAAACGATGGCCTAAAGTTAGGTGCAATATGCATAAAGTTCGGCGAGCAGTGGAAACTAACCAAACAAGGCTCAATAGTACTTCATCAATCCCAAATTGTAAGATGTTTGACTTTTTTGATACCAAGTTTGACCACTCGTCTTATTCGACCACTCGTCTTATTCAAAAATTTGAGCAAAATATTACTTTTTTTGAATAAGACGAGTGGTCAAACTTGGGGTCAAAAAAGTCAAACATCTTATAATTTAGGCTAGAGGAAATACTTTTCAACCACCGTAGCAAGGCCCAATCTAATGATCTTTTATTTACCCTCAGTTTATAGCCCTTCATTTCAAATTATCAGTCGTTTTGTTTTTTCTAGATACATAATTTTACTATATATCTAACATAACGTATACTTAGAAAGCTGTGTACTTAAAAAAGTCAAAATATAACTTATAATTTAGAATGACGGGATTAAGCTAGGTCGGCCCACAAACTCCTGCCTACGAATAGTCTAGACCCTCAACTTATGATAACCCCCATAATCTGTTTGGGCCCAGGTTTTTTCAACTTTTGCCTTTTAAACCTCCAATAAGCTGCTTATAATAATCTAGCTATCAACCGGATTATATAATCTAGCCAGGGTAAACAAATATGGCCTATATCCAATTACATTTAGTCAATCGAGTGAGAGAGAATTTTAGAGGATCATTTTTATCTTTTTATTTTAATATAAGTAGGATCGTCCAGGCGACTAGTAAACGAATTCGGCCCAAAGTTCTTTGTTTGGCCCATGGTGTAGATGCTTGCATGAAGCCCAAAATGATCCAACGCCTGAAAGAACCTATCTCATTCCATTATCCAGAACAAAAAAAAAAGGGTCTGTGGAAAATTCACCAACCACCTCCACCAGCACCGCCATGGCTGCCGCTGTCCCCCATGGCTCCGCCTCCCTCTTGCCTGTTTCGGCTGCGCGACCTCTCTCCGGAAGCACAGGTGAGCCTCCTTGTCCCACTCTCGTCGCTCGAGTTAGATATCTATTCCGTTCAATCGGTCGCGAAACTAATAAATCTCATGCTCGCTTCTTTGATTTTGATCCCTAGTTTCTTTCGGTCCTTCGTTTCGGAAGAGAAGAAAGATTCCGGCGTGGCGGGGCCGCTGTGTTACTGACGACGAAGGTTAGTATAGTGGCACCAGATTTGGCAATCCCAGAAATGGTTGTCTCGTGGTTTCTTTAAGTTGGGTACTTGGTATTTCCTTTTGGTTAATACTCTCATCTTGTCATTTTGAGATTAGATTAGTCAATAGTATCTGATTTTACACATTCCCTGTTATTTCATTTCAGAGCAACACTGTAGTTCATGCGCTGCCTGTAGTCTTCCATGTATGAGATTGTGTTTAACGGATCTGTAGGGGCCTTTTTATGGCCCTGTATAGGACAGCTTAAATTGCTGATGCTTCAATTCAAAGCTCGTTTCCTCCCACAGATAGCTTTGATTAGAAGCAAAGCAAGTAAAAGCTTGGCGTTTGGGAGTTTGCTTTGCTTCCAGGAGAACTCAGTAGCCCAGCGCCAGCGGACCTCGGCCTAGAGATGCTTAGCACCTGCCTTGTCCTCTCCTGAAGAGGATTGCTAGGGCCGCCGCCGCCGCCATGTCCTCACCTGGTGACTTCTACTTCGCTAGAGGGGGTGTGCGAAGGGTCGGCCATTGGCGCTAGGGGACGAGAGTGGGGAGGAGGAGCTCGACGGCGTGGAGGACCTCGGCACCGCAGAGGAGGAGCTTAGTCACTGGGGCTCGGGGAGGTGCGCAAGGGGATGGCTGCCGGTACTCGAGGAGGTGCACGAAGGGGATGGCCGCTGGCGCTAGGGGAGGAGCTCGACGCACGGAGGCGGAGTGTGGGGGAGGAGGAGGAGCCCGGCGGCACGAAGGAGCGTAGGGAGGTTTGCTGCTGTGGAGGAGGGTCGTGAGGAAGAAGTGGAGAGGGGCTATGGGGAAAAGTTGGGGCTGCACCGTGATGGGGAGAAGCCACTTTCAAGTTGTATTCGAGAATCTCTTCAAGCGCGCGGTCATGGGAAGCGCCTAGGAATCATAGCGTTCGGAGGCCTCGTCCACTTTTTTCCACCAGAAGCGGCTGCAGAAGCTGCCCCAAACATGGCCTATGTGTAGTGTATTGATGGGATCGTAGCTCCATTTATCGAGCTTATTTACTTGCGTGATTCTTTTTCCTAGTCAATAAATCGCAAGGAGCACAAAATGTGCAGTGAAAGTTAACCTACCGTAGGATCTGTTTAACAAAGGGCGTACCCAGTGCAGAGAGCTCCCGCTCTGTGCGGGGTCTGAGGGAAGGGTGTCAGTGGCAAGCCTTACCCTCGCCTGTACAATGCGAGGAGACTGCGACTCGAACCCGGGACCTTCCGGTCACAGGCGTTTCACAAACAAAAAGAAAAAGAAAAAGAAAAAGAAAAAGAAAACCTACTGTAGGATCTTATCTGATATAAGTCACCTCCAGAACACTGCTGTCTAATTTACCGCACATTATATGCTCTTCTAAATCATGTGTTTAGGACTGGGGGCACAGATTGTTAAACGTAACAAACAAACATTTTAGAAGATAGTGGATTGAACATCGTTTCTAGAAATTTAGTTGTTTTTTTTCGTGCACTTCTCCAAACAGGTCTGCTTGACTACGTTCTGTGCATATTGTGATTCTCAGCAGAGGAAGTCAAGGATTTGGGAGTCAATGTGGCGCTATCCATGCTAAAGTTTTACAAACGTAAGTTCATTTGCGGTTTGCAGTCTGAGTTTGTTTTCTGCTTCATTCCTGGGATTTGAGAATGAGCAATTAACATCACAATAATTGTGAACTTTGATTTTAAGAACAATCTCATTTCTACATAGATTGCTCATCAGCCCTGCTTTGTGTGAACAGGAGAAATATCACCTTTACTGCCTTCAAGCTGCCGATATGTACCAACTTGCAGTGAGTACTCTATGCAGGCGTACAAACGATATGGTGTCGTAAAGGGTACAATCTTGACTGCTTGGCGCCTTTGCCATTGTAATACTCTTGGTATGCAATTTTTCTGTGTGTGCTTAATTATCTCTGTTGTTTGACATTTTCATATATGTATAGATCTGTATCACATCACATTTGTAGGACTTAGACCTGTCTGATGTACATGCAGGCGGATATGGGTATGATCCTCCAAGATGGTTTGGTGAGGAAGATGTACCTCTGCAATAGTAATGCCTGGTAATTGAAAGTATAGGCAGTGTAATTCTTCAGATCCAGACTTGCAGCAGGTTTTTTGTAATTTACTGAAACTAAACCCAGAAACATAAAGATAAAATTTTGAAATATCTATGCAGCTCTGTGAAGGAGCATGTACATGTTCTTTTTGCCTATGGACTATGGTCACTTTTATATATAATGTCCTTAATCTAGTTGTCATGCATTTCCTCCAAGGTTATCATATGAGCCAAATTCATTTGTTACCTAAAATTTAACATCCAGAATTACACCTTGGTTGCTTGTGCATTCTAGTCTGAAAACCCAACTGTCTTTTGCTGCTTCTAAACTCTGTAAAGAATCAGTGAGTGAAACAGATAGATGCATGGTTCTACCTTATTAGACCTGCATTTGGATTTAGTCAGGAAATCTTACTAGATGCATAAACTACAAATAATCTTCTTGTGGGCTCAGATGAAGGATGAGCATTGACATATTCTTGAACATGAGGACAGTTGAAAAAGTCAACGGAAAATTCCGTACATTGTTGGAACAACTATAGTTAACGAATTCAAGGGTGACTGTATTCTTGAAGAGGAAGCCTGTACCAAGTTATGATTTTTCTTTGCCTCCGGGGCATGTACCCGTCGTCCATTTAAATACCTTCCTTAGGTCAACTCATCAGAACTGCAGGCCACCATATCCTTGTATATGGTGCTTATTTCTTTGTTTCTTCCTGGGGTACATCTGTGTTGTCCCCTTCCAATATTTTGATGGTATATGCTGTGTGAATTTGGATACTTCGGCACATCCATACGTATATCCCAGTGGACCTATCGTTGGTCAAGCGGGCCATATTATTTTTTGTAGTATTCACCATTGTTGATATCGATTGTTTTGTTATCCATGTTGACATTTTCTTTACCCCTAATTTTTTTCCTCAGGTGCCACTGTTACAAACAATCTGTGGTAGTTTCAAAGGCTATCTGTCGATTATAGTGTCAAGGAACATTGTCGGATTTCTGTGATCTCTATGCGCATGATGGTTGCAATGAAAGGTAATTGTGCAGTTTAGATACTTGGTGAACGCTATGCTACTTTGTGAACAGTCTATCAGTATAGTTGAGGATTCATATTCTAGGAATCCTATTGGTGATTGTACAGTTTAATTAAAAAGATACTATCTATGATCTTGAACAAAACTGCTCACAAAATGTGTTGGTACATGGCTTTAACATTATTATCATGCTAAATTTATTATTTGGTACATGTTTTTATTCAGATTTATCATGTATGCATTCAGGCAAGAGTTGCAAATTTCTATAGTAGCTTAGCCATCAATCATTCAAAACCCAAAGCAGCATTCACCATGATTCATATATAATCTACAAGGTTATTTTTCCTTTTTCCATCAAGTTATCTCTGAAACTGCTTCTCAGCTATATGGTTTGTAAAAGAATAAGCTTGATCACTGGTCATTTCCCAAGTCAGATCTATCATCCTCTGCCGTCCACGTGGAGATGGCAGAGAGCACTCACCCTTTCCATCCCTTGAGGAGCCACCCGTGATCCTCATTGATAACGAAGTACTTGCGGTATTCCTTATTCACCTTGTCTTTGCTCGCCTGAACAATGTCCAGATCCAATGGCAGTTGCCTCAGCCCTGCTCGCTCGCACCGCACGTGCCACTGCTTATAGTTGTGAGGCCGCTCCACCCTATCCACGCCCTCACAGGCAATGATGTTCATGGCGCATCGTGCTAATTCCTGCTCTACCAGCAGCGTGTTCTTGTTTTCCTGGGGCACAGTGGTGTCTATCAGGTCAAACAGCGCAGCAAAATTGTTGAGCGCCTCACGGAACCTTGACACAAAGAAAGCACCGCTGTATGATCCATTGAGGATGGCGTGGATGAACACTTTTGGCCTCATCTTCTTGATGTTTTTCAGCACTGTGTCTCTGGGGTTTTGCCTGTCGATGATGACACTCTCATCCATCAAGGTCCTGAAATGGAAATGGGAGATGACAACGAGCACCTCTTCAGGATCAATGTCCAGGTCCTTAGCACGGACAGCCTCTGATTTCGCTGCAATAGCATGGAACTTGAATGGGACCCTAAACTGGCGAGCACAGTCACTGAGGCGGCGCCCTGTCTCCTCAATGAGCTGGCCCGGATGGAACCCTGGCAGTGGGTTGTCAATGCCGGTGAGCCTTACATTGGGCGGGCCACCCTCCCTGTGTGACAGCATACGTAGCAAGTCTGGCCAATGGAATCCAGGGCCTAAACCGTATTGGACAACGTGCAGCTTCTTCCTCCCTGCAACAGCCTTGTAGGTGGTCTTGTTGGTAAGGGGGAATCTCAACGGGAGAATGGAGCATGCGGCCATGTACAGCTTGTAGACCTTGAGGATGCCGGCAGCGGATGCGCTCTTTGCCGCAAGCGACTGGTACATCTGGCTCCCAATGCCCATCACCCGTGCCTCCAGCCCCTGGGCGAAGCAGTGCGCAAGCCGCTGCGTCCCATCCCCTGTCGGTGACGAGTGACGCCTGATCCGCTGCAGCAGGTCAGCCGCGCCCTGCTGGTCGTTGGTGGCCACAGCCTCTGCACATCGGATGAGCAAGGCGCGCAGGTCCACTGCCGTATGGCTCACGCCAGCGCCACGCCTTCCTCGTGGCTTCTCCAACTCCATGGGGCCAATAATTAGCTCCTGCTGGACGTCGGCAGCATGGCTTGCATTGTCGTTAAGCATCAACTGGTCCAGCATCTTGCGTGCTGCGGCTTCCTCCTCTGAGTCAGCTTGTGTCTGTGCCACCTTCTGCTTGCTGCTCCTGCCCATGCTGACGTCTGCATCATTGTCCTTGCCTTGAAGCCTCTTCTTCCAGCCCCTACCACGAGCCAATGTCGTCTCGCTATCCTTGAGTGGGAGCAACTTGTTGGCCACCTCCATGCCTTTGAAGAATGCCATGCTGATCACGTCCATGCAACAGTCGCTGCTCTTGGCTGCTGGCAACAATCTGTTGGGCTCCGCCGCCGCCGCCTCTTGCATGCTGTTCATCAACAAGGAGGATGCATCCTGACCGACGACGTGTTGTGTGCTGTCCATGTTGTCACAATACGAGTAGTACTCAGGTGTGGCCACTACTGACGACAACTGCAGCTGGGTGTTTTGGACAGAGTTGCACGGCCATGTGGTGAAGCCGTCAGAGGTGCCATGCTCGGTGGAGAGGATCTGGTTAAAGGGCTGCTCGGCGGTGAGGAGTGCAGCAGGGTGGTTGGGGTATTGGTACAAAAAGCTGTCGATAGTGTCCTCCAAGAGCATGTGTGAGATGTAGGAGAGATCGTCCTTGCCATTGTCGACGTGGGGCGCCGGGAGTTGGTCAAGGAAGTATGTGGAGGGGGAAGGTGGCGCTGGCTCTGTGAAGTTAAGCTGGGGGCGCTTCTCCGACAACTCCAGCTCCGGGGGGAACCCCATGGCTAGTGCAGTGTTTGCTGCTGGCTACTACTAGTACCGATATATAGATAGTTTCTTCGTGATGAGCTCATCCTGGATCAGTGGTATTATAATGCAGGTGTGGTGAGGGACGGTAATGATGACGCACTCATGACTCACTTTCTTGGCATTACAGTCAGATGCTCGATGCCTCCAACATCAGGCAAACACTGATGACCTCGTATATGGTGCTTGTTTGTTGGCTTTTTCCTGTTGTAACTTGCTGCCTTGTCTGTGTTCTATTTTGGTGGTACATACATACCTACATTGCTGGGTAGATTTGAACCTTAGTGTCGTTTGATGACCTGTCACTTATTGTCGCCGGGTGCGTAGCTATATACACCCAGAGTCTTCCTCTTTTGATTGCATTAACGTTAAGGCTGCTATACCATGCTCATGCTAAGGTGCTATATAAAATGGAAGGATATTATCAATGTCCATGAATATAATGCGAAATCTTAGATGTAACTTGTGTATATTATGTATGTGACAACCTTTTCTTCTTTTAATTTAGTACCCAGGCTGATGCGCTAGCTTTCTCCATTCTGTATCTCTTCCTCTTTTTATTCTTATTATTCATTTTTCAGGTGTATATGAGCAACTGTGCTGGTCTATCAGTATACTTGAGGATTCATTTTCCAGGAATCCTTTTGGTCCAGCACAAGGATTTCGCAGTCTGCTAGTTTCATTGAAGTGACTCTTTCCATGGTCTACAACAAAGAAGGGAATGCTATTTTAAATATTTCATGTCATGACATTAAATACAAGGGCTCCTCGTCACAAAGAATTTCTCTGAAATTGCTTCCAGTTCCAGGCATATATAGTGTGTAAAATAATATGCATTAGCAGCTGTTGCCAAAAGCATGCCAATAAATCAGGAAGTCCAATACATTCGAAGTTATAATAGTCTAAACTAGACGTATTCTTATATTCAAAAAGAAAAAGAAAAAAGGAAACTGAGGATCAATTTATTCACGGAAGCAGTGGCCATTCCACTGACGAGAAGCTGCTGATGGATTACTACACTATGGTACTTGATGTTCCTTTGACCCTCACATATAGTGACATAACATGAGATGAGATGATGTCCAGTAGTCAGAGTCTTCCTGTATGTATAGCAGAGATTATACTCCGTCTCCAAACCATAAATAGAGTCGCTATAAGACTTGTTCTCAAACTTTACTAAATTTATAGAAAATATTAGCAATATTTATATCTCTACTATAAAAATATATTTAATGAATTATCTAATGATATTAATTATATTAATATTTATAATATATATTTAAAAATATTTGACTTACCGAGAAGCGTATTATAGTACGGAGTGAGTATGCTGAAGGAAAGGAAGGCTTCACTGTACTTGCTGAACTTTTTAGGTTGCCAAATATATATGGATTGTTATTATTAAAAGGCAAGTTTTATAGGACGACTATTAGACCTGCTATGTTGTATGGTGCAGAATGTTGGTCTACAAAAAGACGACATGTTCAACAGATAAGCGTCGCGGAAATGCGTATGTTGCGTT